GCATATCTCTAATGAAGGGTAAACATGTAGGAAATGCAATAACCATTATAGGGTATTTACTGTAAAACTGTTTTTTTCAGTGTGCTCTTCTGCATTGTGGAGGTAGCAGTGCCTTCTTTACAGTCCCACCCAGGGGAATCCAGCACTAAATAAATTAGCATACAAACACCTGTAGTTCACTCTAATTGAGTTTCCTTGCCTGTAATCATTTTAGTGTGTATTTGCCCACTCACAGAGCCTATTTTATCCGTCTCTCCCATTGTTTCAGGTGCAGACTCCCACAGCGATGTGAGTTCAGTGAGCGGCGGCGTGCCGTGGGACAGCAGAGAGACATCCCTGGCTGCTTCCACAGCCGCCTCCCTGGCATCTTCCCTGCCTCTGAGGGATGTAATGGATGCAAATGAAGACACTAAGCACAGGGACAACAGCGAGAGAGGCTCAAACGAGTCTATGGGCAGCGGCTCGTCCTTTGAAGAGCTTGACATGGATCAGGAGGAGCAGGAGGCGGGAGAGGAGAGGGGGGAGAAGGGAGATGGAGAAGAGAGGGAAGAGAAGGGAGATGGAGAAGAGGCGGAGGTCCCTGAGGGTGAAGACGGAGCTAGAGAAGCAGTTGAACTGATGGCTGAAAAGAAGGAGCCCGTGGGGGACGGAGAGGAGTAGGGAGGATGCCGAAGAGATAAGAGATGAGGCCATGTAACACTGGCATGCTAGAGAGTTTCTCAGTTGTTGCTGGTTATCTGTCATGTAATCTTGTTGGTGGATCTAAAGCTGTTCATGCCATGACCAACATGCCGTATTTCTGCGCCTTCTAATTCTCTTTTTGAAGCCTGTACTTTTTTGTTAAACTGTAATCTCCTTTTTTAAAATATAATTCCTGATCCTATATTTAAACTCTGTCAGGATAGAACAGACAGCCCCATTTGCTTATGTCTTCTTGAGCAATTTTCTCTGCACATGTTGTGCAGCAAATGAGAGGCACAATTTGTTGAACTTTATATTTCATTTCGAAGTGTAATCCTTCGTGTATACCCACCATTCCTATTCAGATTAGAAATGACACTTAAGTTAAAGATTAACATTAAAAGAAAGACACTGACACCAGATATCCTGGAACATCGTACAGCATCTTTGCGCCCATGTGTGACAGTTGATATTGTGCCCCACTTTCAAGGTCATGTCCCGAGGAATTTTTATGTAACGTGTTGGTGTGCATTAACCGACTTTGGTGTCTTGATATACAGTAACAATGGGGTGAAAATGTGCAGAAGCTAATGCTGTAGAAATTCTGACGGACCTATTCCAGTGTGTTTCTTTTCCAATTTGGGGAAAGTGCTAAAACCTGAGGCAAAAAAAAACAACTTTCATCAACACCAGTAATGTAACATCAGCGACGCCTCCTAGTCACAGAGACTAGGATTTAAAATGCAATTCAAAGATGTTAACTTTTCCCCTTGGATACTGTACAGAACATTTTATTGTCACCCTGCGCTCAGATAATTGCTTTCTAATTTAATGTTCTCTTCTATAGTTGGTTTGTCACACCATTCCACAGTTCTGTTCGTAGCCAAAAATTCACTCACTTCCAGAGACTATTTGTGATATGCTCGTTGGTTGAAATTGTTGGTGCTGTGAGACACTGGAAGTAATGTAGAGCACATCGCCATGGTTGTGTCTTTCTGTCTGTAATAAAGTTTTCAAATGAAGAGTTGCGGTGACAGGAATGCATAGATTTCATTGCACACAGAAAAATATAACCCCTATTCTATATAGATGTCTCTTTGGAAATAACCTCAGTTTTAAGTTTTAATCCAAAGCCACATCATTAGCGCTCCACTCTGAGGGCACTTCTTATTCATATTTATTCGTCTGTATCCCAACAGAGACCAGGAGATGTAACAAAGTGTGGGTGGCACTGGGACACTGTTGTTTAGAAGTTGGTGCCTAATAACTTATTAAGCTCTCTCTTAAACACTAACTGCTTTCATGGTTTCACACTGTAATGACTGCCTCTTGCCGCCGCTTGTGGAGAGGCAGGGAATTAAAAAGCTGAATAAAAAAGCTGAATAAAAGAGAAAACTGTTCAAGAAAGAGCCAATAATGGCATAATTTACCTTTCAGTGCAAGTTGAGAAAATTAAGTAAAGCTATTCCAAGATATTCTCGAGGGAGCAATTTCCCCTGGCACACTTCAAATATTTCATCAATGTGCAGAAACTATTACAAATGTGGTTGCCTCTTGGGAAGCACAAACACTCTTAAAAAGATTATTACAAAATGTTATTGTTTCTGAATTCTGTCACTTTAGCAGGAGCTGCGTTAATCTGAGCAGCATTTGAATGAGAGGTTTGGCATTTGTGCCACAGTTTATTTAATCAGCTGTGAGTACAGCACAAGAGGAAGAATAGGCTCCGGCAGACTATTGATATTTGATGGACACACGTGTTCTTTAGTCAGCGGTCCTTAATGAGCATCGTGACCTATAAGTGCAAATGTTTTCATTCCAATCCAGCCCCATATTAGGCACAGTAATTTCACTGATTAATCAGCCAGAGAGAGGAAAGGTCCTTGCTCCTGCTCGGCCCTACATAACAGTGGATTTTGGCTCATCACACATACATCATGTAGCACAGTTATAGCAAATGATAGGTTTGAGGACACCAATCTAGTTTTATATATCACCTGTGGACTGTCAAACACAGTATATATCATATATGCTATGTGTTTATGTAGAAAGACCATTATCTGATACATGTTGGTGTCAGAGTGAGCATCCACTAATCCGAATGTTAGCGGTTCAATCCCTGTATCTTTTTTTTTTTTTTAAGATATTTTTGGGGGCATTTTTAGCCTTTATTTTATAGGACTGACAAGTGTGTGGGGGGGGGGGGCAACAGCCTTGTAAATGGGGTGCCTGCTCTACCACTAAGCCACCAACGCCCCCAATCCCTGTATCTTTGTGCAAGATACTGAACCCCAAAATGCTCCTGATGGCTGTTCTATCAGTGTGTGAGGGTGTAAATGGTTACTGAGCAAGTGGCACCATGTATGGTAGCCTTGGCTACCAGGGTGTGACAGTGTTTGTGAATGGGTAAATGTGACATGTAGTGTAAAAGAGCTCTGAGTGGAAGATTAGAAAAGCGCGATACAAGTGCAGTCCATTTACCATAAATGTTATAAAGTCAAATATCTGTATGGCCCTCAAACATTCAATATTGGTCTGGCTATTGTAGACCTGTCCAAGGTGCACAAAATTACACAATTACAAGATGCACTGTAGATTACTTACCGAAACACGTGGCATTGAACCACCTTATTAAAGGAACACTTCACCTGCACAGTGACCATTTGTATATCAGTTTCTCACTTTGTGTTTTGTTGAATTTGTCAGGAATTTCTTTTTTTTCTTGCATGCCTCCACAGTGAACAGCAACCTAAACCACATGAATATTCTTAATGAATTGAAGTCATTGGGGACCACATTAATCAACAGCAAAACTGTATCAACACATCCATTTACAAACTGTCACACAACTCATGCATTACAATTCAAGTCTCATTTATCCAGTCATGAACTCAGTGCTTCCCAAACACATGCATTTTTGCCAAAACATGACAATATAAATCACTACTGTCTGTAGGTAGCACACCACCAGTTCAAATGCAATGCATAGACTGTAAACTAAAGATGGACAACATGACAGCTCCTCAAAAGTGAAGCCAAAACCTCTTGATCGCCCCCTGGTGGCTGGCTGCAGTACGCGTCATAAACCCCACCTTCTCCACAATTGTAGATGGGACATGGGCCAGTCTGCAAAAATTAAGATAGTCTTGTCATTTTAGGTGGTTCTTATCACGCCAATGTATGTCCATGTTTTCTTTTTCTGTTGAGTTAGGTTTTAATTATTTTAATGCTATAAAAAGAGGGCGTGATGTCATGATTGACAGCTGCGTGTGACAAATGGTGTGCTCACAATCAATGCGGCTGCTCACAATTGCTCAGACAGGTGTTTGGGTGGGAACTATACCGAGAAGATGGCTCTGCACTCTGGCTTCATATGATGTCACCAGGACAAGATGGCAGCGGCCGTACCCGGGATATTTTTTGTACAGTCGGAGTAAGTGGAGACTTGTTGTCCATCTTTAGATACAGTCCATGGTTCGTACTGCTGTGTTTTAAAATGTAACGTTTTAGCAAATATGCATGTGTTTGGGAAGTAATGAGCTGATTGGATAAATGAGACTTGGCTTATACTGCAAGAGTTGTTTGAGATTTTGTAAAAGGATGTTTTGATGTAGTTTTGCTGTTGCTGAACGTGGTTCCAGTTTAATTTGATTCATGAAGAAAGTTTGTCTTGTTTTGGATTCTCCGTTCACTGTTGAGGCATGCGAGAAAAACAAGGTTGTCTTTAGGAATTCAAGGTAACACAGTGACTGACTGACATACAGATGCTCATTTTGCAGGTGAAGTATTCATTTAAGACACTTTATCTGTGAAATAAGAAATAAGGGATCATCTGTCATGTTGGCCATCTAAGAACAGTTAATTCGAAAATTTTACTAACATGCCGCCCTAATTATTCTCAGACCACGGGAGAAATCAGGTTTTAAAATATCTCCAACAGTCTGTGGGTGACATTTTGCGTTGTGATTAGTCTGAGATTGGTCGCTGCGCTGCCTACAGAGGTGTGATCAGTCTGCGGGGACAGATGCCCTCACCACATGTCTGTTGCACTTTCAGTTTTAATCCTGGCACCACAACCTTTGTCCAAAGGCAAAAATGAAAATCAGCCTGGAAGAGACTCGCGATGACACACTGGGTCAACAACTGATTTAATTAATTGTGAAACCCACAGGGGTGTCGTGCGGCTTTGAAGGCGCGGAGATTATTGCCTTCCCATGATGTTAATTATTAATCTCATTACATTGCACGTGGAAAGAGATAGGAGGGGGGAGATGTCTCAACATACAAATTTAGAAGCTCGACCGTTGCGTGTCTGAAGCTGCTTTCGGCAGGAGGAGAGGAAGAGGGTCGCAGCTCACCCTCTCAGAGCGCATGTCCCCCTGCGCGCATCGCTGTGCCATCTGGGACTGACCTCACACTCTGTGTGTGCCGTGTCACAACTTGTTTGCGGATCCCAAATAAAATTTCCACTGCTGAAGATAAGCGGTCTCCAAAGAATCATTATTTTTTAACGCACTGTACCCCCCTCCTGACCGCTTGAACAAATAGGGAGTGACACTTAAAGCTTCTCCACATCCGGTCCAACAGCTTACAAACTAGAACAAAGCGTCTGAAAGAAACCTTTTGCATGAGGCTCTGCATTACATAATGTTATTTTGCGATGATACAGGCTATCTCCGGGACTGCTCGTGCGTGGAGCTCCTTTGTTCAGGTGTCAAAACCATCTGAGAGTTGATGCCCTCCCGGGTATGTGGCTCATCTGCAGCGAGATCATTTCTGGAGACGCTAGTGCCAGAAGAATTTGCAGCCTGCTCGAGTAACAGGTAGAATTTAAACTTTGTGTCTGATTGCCGGATTTACTGAGCGCTGAAGTCGACAATCTGGCATCCTATCAGGCTCATAAACGTCACTTTTTTTCTAGAGTGATCTCTAAATTTCTATTTCTTCGCATTTGGTACTCGAGAAAGTGAAACGCCTTTTCCCATCGCTCAGTGAAGTAGGCGTTAGATGCATTTGTTGAGGAAATGTGACTTTTGAACCTCCAGGTACCCAGGTAGGCTCGTCTCTCTGGTTTGTGTTTTTTTTCCCCGTCAGCACCACGGACAGCTCCTGGCACGCGGCTCAGCTGCACGCCGTCCGAACTTCAGGCACAGACTCACTCGCCCCCTTTATTCATTCATTCATTCATCCAGTTCCTCTCTAGTTCACATCCACGCTGTTCTTTTTTTTTAACTCAACACTGCTGCAAAGGATATGCGTTGGGTTTGCACGATCCATTCATCGCACGACAGCGCTGGAAACTGAGGAACCCTGCACAGGTAAGAGATGTTGTGTGCGTGTTATAGATCTCGACTGATTTGTGCTGTGGGTGCCTCGAGGTGCATTTTTATGAACTTCTACGAGCTGGCTTGTAGAGAAGTAAATCTTAATTTGCTGAGGAGTTGAACTCACCTTCTATTTCTGTAGTTTAAATCCTTAAAAATCGCGTAAAAACGCACAGGATGGAGGAAATAACTGTGCGTAATTTGTCCCTTTTCTGATAATTTCATTCATTTTATTGGCATATTTACATTGCATTGTTTACCGTTTAATGCAGCCTTTATACCTCCTTTTTGTTTACCACTACATGTCTGGCTACAGCCATATACTCGCTGCACAACCCTCCACATGTGCGATGCTGCTGACAAACTACTAAACAGGCGCTGCAGCACACAACAACCGCCATATCTCCGATCTTCATTTGGCACATCACTTTGTGTGATTAAAAAAGTGTGAAACATTACTGAGAGAGTCGATTTAAAAGTCAGCAACTCAAGAATTAGTTTGCGTGCCACAGGGTGTTGGAGAGTAGAGGATAATGTGCGCAAATACGGTTCATCTTTTTGTTTGGTTTCTATTATCGGAGTCATTTCCTAATAGTTTGAGGATGCTCAGGAATTTATAGTAATCCATCGTGGTTTTCTTTTTCATTTGGATATAAAATGATAATCCACATCAGCGCAGATTATCATCACACTTGTAAATGAGCATGAGAGCAGTGGGATGCTGCATGTGTGGCTGAGCATGGGGTGATTCTGTGTGATTCTTCGATTATCAGATCATCGGGAGTTTAGAATACATTTTTAAACACACTAGAATATAAATGAATCCCCCGAGGCGCAAATATTTAGAGGCCGTGTCGCTAATGCTGGACAAAGTCATTAAGGGAGGCAAAATGTACTGTGGATGCTTCCTCCAGTCCCAGGGGGCATGTGTGCTGCATGTTCAGCAGATAAAACACAATAGAAACCCTCTCAGAATGCACAGTAATCACTTCATACAGCACAATGAAAGTGTTTAATTGACCATTGCTATATTAGTTTCTATTCTTTTTTACATAATAGAATGAAGCATTTTATAGTATTGTAAATCCTCCTCCTGTACAACTGAGAATCTGAAATGATGTGTGAACCCAGCGCTCACAGCTGAAGATGTTGATTACGGTAAATTATTCAGGTTATGGCTGACTAAGAAGACCATGCTCTACTGCCATCAGCTGAATCCAGAAACAAACAAACAAAAAAAAAAGTAGCAGGAGGAGGTGAGGCTGTCTGACCTGTGCTCCCTCTTCAGCTCGATCCTGCATGCAGCCACCTCACCTGTTACTTTTGACTAGGACACCCATATGCGCACAGGGAGCTCTGTTAATTACTGAAGGTGCTGGATGAGCCGAGCTGAGTAGCAGCATGTTAAAGAGTTTTTGAACAAATGATGCAGAAATGACTCATTTTCTGCAAAGAGAAGCCAAAGCAGGGAAGGCTTCCTCTTGAACGTCTGATCTTTCTAGAACAGGCGAGCAAAGAGTTTTAGAGGGGCTTCATGTGGGGTTGTATTTGTTCCCAGCTACCTCTGATTACATTCCTGCGTGAGGAATCACTGTGGTCCGATCAAAAATTCAATTTCAATTCAATTCAATTTTATTTATAAAGCCCAATATCACAAATCACAATTTGCCTCACAGGGCTTTACAGCATACGACATGGCAGCCTAATAGCTCATTCTTCCTTATGGTCATGTAGGTACTCACACACACATGTGCAGGTGAGGTACATTGGTCGGATGTTGGATGTCTGCCAGTGTAATATCACATAAAGCCCGGTCTACTGTACACCTGGTGCCCATCACATCTGTTAAATGAAAGATTTAATGTCCCCCTGCACTGCTGTAAATGTGAGTATTTAGGTACTGATTTGTATTCTGTGAGCTGATAGCACATCTGCACTAGTGTTAATAAGACACAGTTGCGTGGCTGTTACGTGAAAGACAAAGGCAAAGTGACCATAAGAGAAAGGAAAAAACAGAAAACCACAGAAAGAGTCCTGCGCCCTGATTTTAGATGCACAGAATGAATAGAAATGTATGTTTTACCCTATGAATTTAATTTCAGATCAAACATACCACTCAGTGACATGCCACAATTTTCTGATGATGCAGTCCTGATAAAATTTATGGTTCAATCACATTAAACTCAGGAAAAAAACATTGTATCTTCACTAGATTCCTACTCAAGTAGAAAGATTTAAGCGTGGACTTACTCAAGTGAAAGCATAGAGAAGCTTCCAATTAATTAATGATGTGAGTATGACTCTCAGATTAGAAATTAACTGCTGCACTGACTGCAAATGAATCATTGCTGTTTTATATTCTTTGTGTATGTGTGAGAGGTTCCCAGGTGAGTCCTGGGTCAGCAGCATCAATTATTTCAATTGTGAGTAATGATGAACTGTTGTTGATCTCTTCTGTCTTGCAACTCTTACTGAAATAAATCCTGACTTCAGTAATACTAACGGGGGTAGCTGCACTAGAGGAAGTAGTTAATCACAGTTGCTCAATGAACAGAGAATTTTTATATCTGTGGATTAAGCACAGATGTGTGATTTCCAACTCTGTCCGAGAAATGTCCACGTTCACAAAGACTTGGCACAAACTGTCCAGAGGAATATTCCTTTTTTGGGATATTTTTTCAAACATTATCAAATATCCTGGTCCCCCTTACCTAAAAATATTTCTGCAGGCTGCTTGATAAAACTACACTTGTCACATCAGTGGAGCCCAGGCTCTCTTTACTTTTCTTGTACTGTTAAAATTGTTTTGGGTCATCAAAAGTGGCAGCTGATCTTCTGTTGATGAGAGCATTTAAACTTAGCAGCTGTGAGTGTTTTCAGACCCAACGGTAGGTGTTTTTAGCCCGGAGGAACTTTTTCATGGCTCTAAGAACCACCCTTTATACTGTGTCTGCACTCCAAGAACAGAGCTGGCCGGTAGAACACAAGCCAGTGCAGCACTGACAACCACCATTTTTAAAAACCTGTTAGCCGTGTTAACAACACATAACGTCAAAGACAAACAACAGCTCGTAACCAAAAAAAAGAAAGAAAGAAAACACAGACATTGAAATTAAGCGGCGCATTCAGCCCAGACAAAATGTAACAAACCATTTATCTAAATGGAATCTGTGGTGCGTTGTACACCTTGTTGTGTCAGGCAAGTGCACTGCTTTTTAATATGGTGAAGTCTATACATGTCACTGCTGACTGGGTAACACCTCTGATTCACCAACCAAACAAGAGAAAACGTACCTCAAAGCACGTTGCAAATTGTTTCACACCGTTTTTAAGAAACACGTCAACTGAAAAACTGTAACAAAACGTTGCAGTCACCACCAGATCCAGACTGGAAATCCAATCTGTTCAGGTCTTATCTCCTACCCAGTGGTCCATCCTGACCCTAACCATTCAAGGTCAATGCCTAATTCACTCTATCTTTGCACATGTGTAGAACAAATCAGGTTTGGGTACAGATTGGGCAGGGACAGGTGCACACCAGTTTCAGATTGAACATACCCCAGGCTTTACTGTATATCGAGCAGAAGTGATGTTGCTATACCAGCCACCTGCAGGCTTACATCACTCCAGTGTTCCTATTAGCTGTGTGAATTCAAACAAAAAAGCCCTTGAAGGTTTGTAGTTCCTGGAGGAGCCCTCCAGTGGGCAGTTCCTTTAAGGGAATCCCCAGAAGTGCTTGCTTCAAAAAGGTCCTATTGATGCATTAAAGTGGGGGTTCCCGACTCTTTCTTGCTTTCAGTGCCTTGATATGTAACAATATCTCTGTGCAAGTCTGTGTCATAGGTTGTCTTTAAGTTATGACAAGCCCAAATTGTAGTGATTCTTCAGACACAGATTGTTTTATTAGCCGCAACAAGCAGCTCTGTAGGTCGGTTGGTTGGTGGCCAGAGTTTTTACCCTAAACTTTGGCATGGAGTTCAAGTGTGTGTGTAAAGGTGTGTGTTTGGGTCCATGCCAATTGGTCAAATTAACATTTGGCTAATTGGCATTTTTAATGAGCATTCTGGTGACAAGTGGTCCTTGCTGTTGGGTTTGAGAACTGCATTTCCCAAGTTTTAGTCACTGTTTCACACATGATCAACAGTAAAACCGCTCTGCACTGACTGTGCAGTTGTTCTTCTATGGGAAGAGTCGTGGTGCCCAACTAGGTGGAAGTGCTATCCTTAGTGTTGTGCTCCTCTTGAAACGACCACACAACACTGCACTCAAAGTTCAAAGTATTTCAGTTGAGACCTTGTTTGTTGCTTTCCTTTCAATGAGCAACCAATGAGACAACAGCAGTATGTGTGATAGCCAGAAGAGAGCAGCGAAACAAACAAGTGCTGTTAAGAGATGTTTGCTCTCAGGGCTGTCTGCCATAATGCCTTTTCATGGATAGGTTTCCAACAGAGATCATGGTTTGGTTTAAATTGAAAAGATCTCTGAAAAGCCCTGAAGGCAAACTTCAACTACAAGCAAGCAGGGAAGGTAAGTGCGATGCTTGGTATTACAAGTATCTAGCCTGAATGGCAATCGCCAGGGCCTTCTTTTGAAATAAACTCTGATGCATTATACACAAATCGGTTTTCTTTTTCTTAGAGGTTTGACCCATGCAGAATGGTCTGAGACTGCAACTGTTGTTGTTGCCTAAATGAGTTTACCTGCAGTGCCCTGTGCGTTAACTATATTCTGCAGTCTACCTTGCATTGAGCGAAGAGCGGATGATGCAGATGGCACTACAGCAATACAGTCCTGATAAAAGCTGAGGGTTAAAACTCTTTTTATTAAACCATTTAGTTGTACTTAATCAATGTTTTAAAGAAATTCTATGGATTCCCTGGAGCTTTAAAGAATACACCTTTATGATTTTTGTCCCTCAATCAGTCAAATCAACAGAAATATTGAGGCACGACTTAAAAAATGTATGTGAGTTTAAGTGGATAGCTGAATAAAGA